ACCTTTCCAATATATAAATAAAAATATGGAATTAATCTTTCTGTACCGGGCTGTCCAGTGTTCTCTCTTCATTGTTGTTTTTACAGAGGCTGTAGTGCTGTTTCTAGGTTTCTAGACAACATATTTGCTGCTACAAGTTTTTTTGGGGGGTGGGGGAGGGGGTTCCCATGCTGTAGTAAACGCTAAGCCATACTAAAAAGCCATCTTCTGTACTTGCTATCACATGTGGTGTGTAACACTGTATATAGATGTAGCAAATGTACTAAATTATATATACTCAAAGGAGACGAGTATAAATTTTGCCTTGTGTTTTTGACTATTGAAGACTTTGGGGTTTCACAGGTGTTTGTGGGGGCAGAATTCACACTTGTATTTTTGACCTGGGATTTTAGTTCAGTAGATCTTGAAAGAAAAGACCGTGGCTGGACAATGGTATTGTATTTGATCACCTGTAACCAAAGTAATTTGGAAAACCTTTTAAACTATTCAAGGAGCTCTCTGGCAAGTTAATTAACTAGGCTGGATTTTCAAAGAACAAATAATTTGCATATGCATCCGAAGAAGTGGGCAGTAGCCCACGAAAGCTTATGCTCTAATAATTTTGTTAGTCTCTAAAGTGCCACAAGTACTCCTGTTCTTTTTGCGGATACAGACTAACACGGCTGCTACTCTGAAACCTGTCAAATAATTTGTATACATCTTCCCCAGATGCTTTATGAATATAACAAGTTCAGATGGAGATAAATGGAGATAAAGGGCTAACAAATAACTAAGTATCAAAATGTCCTCAAAGATATACTTATCCAGGATTTTAGCACTTAATCTTATGGACTCTAATAAAACAAGGATTAAGAATGGACTGTAAAGCAGGTTTTGGTAGAAGCTTTCACAGGCTTCAGAATGCAGCCTGATTTCTCAGCAGAATATGGAGCGAATACAGACCTTACAAGTATGAGAACTTCATGAGTCCCTCGAAATATAAAGCAAGGACATATACCCTTTGTTAATATTTCTGTTACTGTATTTGTCTGTAGACTGAGACTTTTTTTTGTTTCTGAGCTGGGTTTATGCATTTATCTAGTCTTTCTTATACCCGTGTTCTCTTGAAAACCCAGTTAGGAGAAGTGTGGAAGCTGAAGATGATACCCTCTGACTTTTTGATAAGGTGAGAACATGCATTCATTTTCTCCACAATGGATTTTGACCGCTCCTTTTCATTGTCTCTGCATGTGCAGTCAGACAGTGCAATGTTATGTCCTGTGCCTCTCACCCCTTCAAGTGAAAGCTCCTTTATTAAGAGTTAATTGAAGTCTGAGGACTCCATTGCTGCAGTGCTGTTGTCTAAACAACAATGGAGGAGTAAAAGGGGTGTCTCTCTTTACTGCTTTCGGCTTTTATGGAAAACAGAGCCCTCTAAATAGTGGGGTTGAAAAGTCTTTTGAGTCACAATATCCACTAATCTCCTTGGAACATTTTGGGATTTACAATATTTGTATACAAAATGTTATAAAGTTGAAGGAATCTGTTAATTGTTTGCTTATTAAAATCACTGCCACTGCTTGTGTTTTTCCTACATTGTACCAGTGAATTGTTCAGCTACTAAGGATTAGGAATTACACTGTTTTACTGATCTGAATGAATAGTAGATTAGTTCAGCAACCTGTCTCCACAGATCAGTTGTTTGAAAATAACTAAAGATAGTCCCTTGTGGAATAAAGGAAATAGTATAGCTAAATATTCAAGTGATAAGCTAAAGCAGCTTAGATTTACTGTATTTCTTACCTCTTCAAACAAAAGCTATACAAGTGATCTACAAGGGACCTGGTTATAGCTGGTCTGCATTATATGTCTGTATAACACCAGAGATTCCTGGGAAGCTTCGTATTGGTAGGTAGGATTAGGTTGCATTGATAATGATGATGGGCTTTTTATATTCAAAGCACTTTACAGACATTATCTAATTAATACATACAACTGTGAGCTAATATTCCAAGCCTCTTTCAGGCTTGATCACTACCCTTCCCAGCATTCTGTAGGTGATGGGGGGTACTTTTGAAGTTCTCCTGCCCTTTAGTTGAAGTCTTACCAACACCGCCAGCCT